CTTGCTGCTACAGGATTCCAGTAATAAGTAAGGTAATACTGTGTGTTACTTGGGTGAAGTAGTTCTCCCTGATAAAATACTTCCTATTCATTCTCTCTTTTGCCTTTTATTTTATATTTTCAGTCTCTTAAAATTTCTGACTGCATTCTGGGAAATTTCCTTGTCCCTATTTTTGAATAGTGAATTCATACCTATATCTTCAGTAACCAAGCTGACATCACAGGGTTCTTCCTTATCTTTGGCCTTTGATAAATTCCTATGTCCTTTCTCCCATAGTAGGAAACGTGGTTCCCAACTTAAACATGTTTGTTCAGTTGCTCTGCATTCAGCATAGTTGTAAAATGATATCACTGACAACATCTAACTTTGTGAATTTAGCATTTTTTGGGTACACAGAATATATACCATTAAGTATATTCTAACAAATATCAAATTTAAAAGTTATTTCACTAAAGTAGTTTCTTTGTATGTTTACATTACCAATTGGTTAGGCTTTTTTTTCTGTTTGCTATCAATTTTGTGTTTTGGTTTTTTTTAGAAAATTGATCAAAGCAGACTTTAATTTTTTATCCTCCTACTTGAAAGATTTCTGTTGTCCGTGAGTTTCCCCAACCGTAGCATTGATTACAGGTTTACAGTCCTAAGGTTAGTAATTTCCTTCTCATTTATCTAATGATCAATTTTTTTTTTCTATTGTGGTGTCAGAAGTGTCATGATGTATTTTTATGTTTTCAAGGAACTTCCTAAAAATTCAGTATATACCCCAGTGTGAATAATAATACTCACTACTTTGCACAGAATTCAGGATTCTGCATATCCATGGAGCCATGGATTTGAGCTGAGAATCTTCACCCACTCTGTCTCTGGTAAATCCTTTTACCACCCCTGCAGCTCTGTGACTTCAGTGGTACAGTGGAAACAAATTTGTTTCGGGTTAGCAGGGTATTTCATTTAGAAGAAAATCCTTTTGCCATTGGTTCACAGGATTCCCCGAAAAAAATTATGGCTTTTAAGCTTTTCTTTTTTCAAAAGCAGCAGTTACATAAGCGGAATATTGGACTACTTTTAAAAACATGATAATAGCAAAGGATTAAGATATCCATCACATAGCCAAACTAACCCCACCTTAAACCTGTGGAGCACTGCATCACCCCAACAAAGCCACAGGTTTTATCATATACACCAACCAATGAACAAGGTTAATCTCATCACTTCTCTTACACAGAATTTTTAAAAATCGACTATACTAGGGCTCTCCCTGGTGCCCCAACGGGTTAGGATGCAGCACTTCAAGCTGGCTGCATAGCTTCAGTGCGAGTTCGATCCCTGGCCCCGGAGGTGACCACATGGCGCGGCAGACCTCTCCTGACCAGCCCGATGCTCCCCTTAGCAGTGTACTTCGCTGATCTGTCTATTCTGCTCCTCACTCTGTATCTAGTAAATCCTTTTACCACCCCTGCACCTCTGGCTTGTACCCACAGTTCTGTATGAATACATAAATAAATCTTAAAAAAAAAAAAAAAAACCTACTATACCAAACAGCATTTTTAGCACTGATATACAACCCCCCAGTACAATAAAGCAAAGACAAAAGCATTTATCTTGTTAGGAACAAGATAAATCATCACTTATACACCTCACACTTTATTGCAATTTAACTTTCATAGTTTGACATTGCTTTCATAAGAGTCTTCCAACAATTTTAACAAAGGTTTTTTTTTTTTTTTTAGATAAAGAATTTTTTTTTTTAAAGATTTATTTATTTGTGCATACAGAACTGGGGTACAGGCCAGAGGCTCAGGGGCGGTGAGAGGCTTCACCAGAGACAGAGTAGGGAGCAGAACAGGCAGATTGATGAAGTACACTGCTGATGGGAGCAATGGGCAAGACAGGAGAGGTCTGCTGTGCCATGTGGGTCACCTCCTAGGCAGGGATCGAACTCGCACTGAAGCAACTGGCTCACTTGCAGTGCTGCACTCCAATCCACTGTGCCACCAGGGTGGGCCCTCTCTCTTCATTTTTAAGGAAAGTTGTAAATATTTTCTCTCATTTTATCGTTTGTCTAATGACTCAAACTCTTGTTATCTTAACCATCATATTATCATTTGTGCAGTTAGGAATGGCATGCAGTTAAGGATTTATTTTGAAACACCAATTAATCATTTATTTTCAACAGTTAACAAAATCCAGAACTCACATAAAATGATAAACCCAGAAATAACCCTAAATAGAAGAAGAATGACCTCTAAAGTATATCCCAGGAAGCTGGAGTAACTAACATATTGCATAACTGAATCAAAATTCAGCATATTTTAACAGCTTGGAAATGTAGACCAAAACGTACAAAATAAAATTTAGTAGAAACAACATTTTGTATTTGAACTTAAGAACATTTGTTTCATTAGTGCAAGGTGGGAGACACTCACCTTCACAGGAATCCTTGTATAAATGCATTTCAGGTGACCATGTACTTTTATAAACTCAATAGGATGACGTAGTAACTAAAGTGAATGCATTGTTAGAGTGAATTCTAGGGGGAGATTACCTTGATCATGGAGAAAGTGACCTCATTGTAATTGACATTCACATTCCGTTTCTAGAGTGGTAGCTACATTTTTGGGGGTCTCCAAATCAAGAGGCTCATAGACATCCCTGAGCAAGTCCAAAGCAAGGAGTCCAAGTTAGTGAAGGGTCTGGAAATCATGTCAGGAACTCGGGAGTATTAATCTGGAGAGAGGAAAGCAAGTAACTTTTGAAGTATTTAAATTCTGTCAAGCATAGGAGGGATTAGAATTATTTGGTACTTGCAACATTGTGATTCATAAGGAAAATATATATTTGATCATTCAGTTCCTGACTCACACTCCCAGAATCTTTGGAATTTCTTAAGTGTTGAGAGGAATAAAAGTGTCTTTTTGTTATGTTAATGGGAGACATTTGGAAGCCCCTAAGGATGAGGACTGGTTGCCAGAATCGACCACATGATTAGAGGGTTAGAGGTTTCAGTCCACTCCCAGGCCTCCCAGGCCACCTGGAGAGGGGGAGAGGGACAGGCCAAATCACCCATCAGTAGTCAATGAGTTACTAATGCCTAGAGTAAGAGAGCCTCCCAGAGGAGGGGCTTGTTCGTTCATGAACACTTGAAGATGCTGAAGATGCTGGAGGGAGACCTAGAGAGGCCATGGAAGCTCTGTGCCCCTCCCCCATCCTTTGCCCTGGGCCAGCTTCCATTGGACAGTATCCTTATGCAATAGGCAAGTGACCTAGTGACTACACAGGTATTCTGAGTTCCTTAAGCCACAGGAGTAAAATACCAGTTTCAGAGGAAATGGCTCACTGATCTCTAGCCAGTTGACCAGAAGCAAAGGTAACAGACGGGGTTTGCAGCTGGCTGAAAGAGGACAGTCTTGGGAGACTGAGCTCTTTTTCTCTGGAACCTGATACTGTCTTTCGCTCTATAGTATCAGAGTTGAGCTGACCTGTTGGATACCCTGATGATGTCTGAATATTGCTCACTGATTATGGGGAGTCACACACACCCACACTGGAATTAGATTTTACAGCCCTTTTCAGAGCTGCGTAGGACCCCTGGTGACAACCTACTGCAGTCAGGCTCACGCCAAAGCGAAACTTCCAACTGGCCTTTAGGTCTGCCAGTACGAGGGAGGCACCCTCCTTACCCTACCACTCTCTTGTGGAACCAGGTGTCTGGTCAGCCGTGAGGCTCAGGGGAAGGCACTGCTATGTGTCTGCAGTTGGGCATTAGAATCCTTATCTGATTTATGGAAATCAATCTTTCCTTTCTTTCTGGTATCTTCTGTTTGTGAAGAACATGCACAGGTGGGGAAAGCGATCTGCAGGAATTTTTGGCTGATTAAAGTCAATGAAAAATTTGGAAAAACATTAGTCTGTAGTATTTAATGTTAAAATATGTCAACCTTGAGTTCTAGCCAAGAGCCCGAGCCAGTTTCCTGAGAGCAGGAAATGTACCTCATAGAGAATGGCATTTTCGGGCCAAGACCTCAAACTGTGCCTCTATTCACTTACTTAGTGCTATGCTTGGGTCCTTATCCTCCTTCACCACACCTGATGAGAGCAATAACCATGTTTCATTGTGAACTGTGCTTAGTCAAGCCTGGCCCAGAGACCGCAGTAGTACCAGAATTTTCTTACCCACTTCACTATGCACAGAAGTTGAAGAGGCATGGGTTTAAAAGGCCAGTGGTGGGCCTGAGATTCAGCAGTTCAGTAAATTCTAGGTGCTGGTGATACTGCTGATTCAAGGGCCCACTGTGAGTTGCCGGGGTCTCACAGCAGCAGTCTACAATGTGTCCCCCATAAGCCGCTTGTGACAGAAACACCTTCCCCTGCATCTTCCTGCTAGTTTAAAGTGCCAATTCCTGGGCCCTCCCTGGTGGTGCAGCAGGTTAAAGCACAGCACTAAGCTAAAGCCACTTCCGCATGAGTTTGATCCCCGCCTGCCCCGGAGGTGACCACATGGTGCGGCAGACCTCCCCTGACCTGCCCGCTGCTCCCCTCAGCAGTGTACTTCGTAGATATGCCTGTTCTGCTCCCCGCTCTGTCTTTGGTGAAGCCTCTTGCTGCCCCTGAGCCTCTGGCCTGTACCCCAGTTCTGTATGCACAAATGAATCTTAAAAAAAAAAAAAGTGCCAATTCCTGGGCTGCTCTGAGTTCTGGGACCAGAATCTCTAGGGGCGCAAGAGTGGAGCCCAGGAATCAGCTCCTGAGCTAGTGCTGTGACCTTTAGTACATGAAAATGTCAGGACCACTGGCCTTGCAAAAATGGACAAATGGATGGGGTGGTTTAGGCTGGGCAGTGGCTGCATGACCCTGGGGGTACAGTGAGCTACACACACTTGGTTGTAGTAAGTAGGCCACTAAGTAGAGCCTGGCGGGCTTATCTTCCCTGGGCGCTCAGGGTGATCTGGGTCTTCTCAGCTCCGTAAAGTGTAGATGCTGTGATTTGTTGATTCGCTTACCCTGGTTTCCTTCTGTTTTCCAGTCGTCCAGCATGCTCTGCCCACCCCACGGCGAGGCGCACTGACCATGAGCCTCAACTCCTCCCTCGGCCACAGGAAGGAGCTGAGCAACCTCACTGAGCAGGGGGCCGGCGAAGGGGGCATCATCGTCACCGAGTTCATCGCCATCATCATCATCACCATTTTCGTGTGCCTGGGCAACCTGGTCATCGTGGTCACCTTGTACAAGAAGTCCTACCTCCTCACCCTCAGCAACAAATTCGTCTTCAGCCTGACCCTGTCCAACTTCCTGCTGTCTGTGCTGGTGCTGCCCTTCGTGGTGACCAGCTCCATCAGGAGGGAATGGATCTTCGGTGTGGTCTGGTGCAACTTCTCTGCCCTCCTCTACCTGCTCATCAGCTCGGCCAGCATGCTCACTCTTGGGGTCATTGCCATCGACCGGTAAGTGTGTCAGCGGCTTAGAGAACTGAATGTCTAGGGAGTGTGTGCAGGGTGCAAGGGGGTTATCTCTAGAGGTCATCTGAGTCCATGACCTTCAGGTTGTTTGAATTCTAGGAGGATGTCAGGAAGCTGCTGACGGAGAATGAGACAGTGGAGTTCTGCCTCTTCTGCTATCCCTTCAGTCTGAACCCCTCTGGTTTTATCTGATCTGTATTTCATAGTTTTATTTTTCTGAAAGGGGTGTCTGTCTGGGCCCTCCCTGGTGGTGCACCGGGTTAGGACACAACATTGCAAGCTACCTGCAGCCACTTTAGTGCAAGTTCAATCCCCGGCCCCGGAGGTGACCCACATGGTGCAGCAGACCTCGCCTATCTCTCCTGCTGCTCCCCTCAGCAGTGTATTTCATCAGTGTGCCTGTTCTGCTCCCACTTTGTCTCTGGTGAATCCTTTCACTGTCCCGTACCTCTGACCTGCACCCCAGTTTTTCTCCACAGAAGTAAATTTTTAAAAATGTAATAAAAAAAAAGTATTACAGAAAGGAAAGTACCATAACTCCATCAGTCAGAAGCAATTATAGTTTACGTGTTTAGTATATCTGTTTCTAGTGATTTCTGACTGTATAGACTTCAATTTAAAAACAGGTTCATGGCCGTGAACCTTTCTCCCTCATGCAAGATCCTTCAAAAGCATAAATTTTAATGAATAATTAGTATTCCATTTATTACAGTTCCCAGTTAGCTTACTATTTTGTATAACGCTTTGAAAGAACAGGTATGTTTTAGATATTGTGTTTTTAGTAAATGTAAACATACCTCCAAGATTCTCCATATATATAAAAAGGCAAGTTGCCCTTTAGAGGGTTTTCAAAATCCCATCAAGACTGACTGTGTAACACTAAAAAATAATTGGAAATTGGTAGTGGGGAGGAATAGGTCTCACTATTGTTTTAATTTTTTATCCTTAAAAACATTAATTTTTTAATATCTTCTACTGGGCCGTGGGTCCTACAGAGTAAGGGCAAACACCATCAGAGCGGATGTGGGGAAATGGTTTTTAAGTGTGTCTCGCAGAGCTGTCTCTATATATGGACGCTTGGTAAATAGTGTCAGCTGGGGGAGGTACGGAATTGCTTGCTTGGATCTGGGGTCTAGATAAGGGAGGGTGAAGTTTTTTTTAAAGACTTATTTATTTATGCTTATAGAATGGGGTACAGGCCAGAGTTGGGCAAGAGGATTCACCAGAGACAAAGTGAGAACAGAACAGGTAGATGTACTGAAACACATTGCTAAGTGGAGCAGTGAGCAGGTCAGGGGAGGTCTGCTGCGCCATGTGGGTCAGCTGGGGATCGAACTGGTGCTGCAGTGGCTTCGGAGATCTTCATAGTGCGGAGCTTTAACCCGCTGCGCCACCAGGGAGGGTCTGAGAAGTTTTTCACCAGCATTTGTAACAAATCGTCAATCAGGCTGTCAAAATGCATCCTCTGACAGAGGGTTTGCCCCTTGCAGCGTCTTATTCTTTCACACTGATGTCTTTGTTTGTCTCCAAGAGGCCGGGCGCTCGTTCCTTGGAGTGGTAGGATAGGACACAGACCTTGCCCTGCCAGAGTTCCCAGTTTAGGGGCAGGGGCTCAGGGCCACTGTCACTGTGAACACAAAGCAGAGAGAACCAACCACGTAACCTGCTCCGCCAGCAGCAGGCTTGGGTGCTTCTGGGGAAAGGGAGCGTTGAGCTAATTCTTGACGCTCCAGGCATGTGCGTGCGGATAAGCCCGCTCCAGTGGAAGGACCGGTCTCTGCCATCATCTGCTACACATTTACCGAGCACTGAGTGCGTACCTGGCACAGCCGTAGGTGTGAGGTATACAGCTAGGTAAATACCGCGAAAATTCAGAGTAGGGGAAATGGGCGCCTTCAAATAATTTCAGGACCGCGTGATATTGACATAGCCTGTTTTAGGTGCTGTGAACCCACAGAGGAGGGGGTGAGACAGAAGGGGTGGAAATAAAAGTGTGTGCTGCAGGTGGTGGCTTCTTACTCTGCAGAGGGGAGATGGCAGCAAGAGGAGGGGACACATATGCCACACTGGCACTACATTCATCTCCTAGAGCTTCGATCCACGCCCCAAGACTTCCCAGCCTGACGTGGGGTGACTGAGTGCTGGGCCTGTGGGACTTCTGCCTTGCTGGACTGGACGGTCAGGAAAGCCTCATGATGGCAGAAAGCACTGATGTCCTCCTGATGGGGTCACAGCGCTCCAGCCAGGTCTTTAGGACTCCTGCATGCAGACTGCTAGAAGGTTGGTGTCTGCGAATATTTTCATGGCAGACATAAGAATTTATTTATTATTATGGGTCCTTCATGTGGTTTAATAATACAAGTGGAGAAAAATGAGGCCAGTGGAAGTGAACTAACTAAAATAGATTTCTTAATAGTCACTTGCCGGCCCTGCATGATGCTGTCAATCACCATTTATTCCAGGAAATGCTCACAAAACCCAGTTCATCCAGTTTGGAAACAGACAAAGTAAGAGTTTGAGAACTAAAGTGAGCTCACCCAAGTTCAGACATGGGGGCTCATATCACCCCCAGTTCAGAGATGCTACTGGTCAGGTAGCATTTCCAAAGGGCAGAGTCCAACAGGAGTTAGCTCAGCTCAGATGGCTCCACCTTAGCCCTGCTGACGTCTGGGCCTGATAATTAATTCCTTGTTGTGCTGTGCTGTGGGGTGCTCAGGGATGGTGAGTGGCACCCCTGGCCTCTGCACCTAGATGCTCAGCACCTTCCCAGCTGTGACAGCCCCAAGTATCTAGCATTGTCACCTGTCCTCAGGGGCCCAGAGTCAACAACGGAGAACTCTCACAGAAGAAACCTGTCAAGCCAATTGACACATGATTCAAAAGATCCATCTTGAAGCCCCAGAAAGAGACAGCCAAGACAGAGAATGAAAAGAGCTGGCTGGAGTGAAGTTCATCAGTGAAGAGTCAATGTCTTAAACTAACCAGATAGGAATTGGAGGTGTCATTGGTCCTGGGAAGAGGTCTACTGAGAAAAATCCATACTGTGCATTCCTCTTGCTTTGCTGTGAAGCTGCTAAGGCTTCAGGTTCATTTAAAATTGTTCTCATATTTGCTTTCACACTGAGCTGGATGAGCTTCTAAAAATGGCATTTTTAAAAAAGATTTATTTATTCATGCATACAGAACTGGGGTACAGGCCAGAGGTGCAGGGGCAGTGAAAGGATTCACCAGAAACAGAGTGGGGAGCAGGACAAACAGATCGATGAAGTACACTGTTAAAGGGAGCAGCGGGCCGGTCAGAAGGTCTGCTGCACCATGTGGGTCACCTCCGGGGCAGGGATCGAACTCATGCTGAATTGACTTTAGCTTCTTAGTGCTGTGCTTTAACCTGCTGCCCCACCAGGGAGGGCCCAAAAATGGCATTTAAATAGTTAGAATTGTGAGGTGAGTAGTTTTAGTGAAGAAACTTGAACAGTGTAAGTTAATGGGTTCACTGAGGCTTAGATTTTGTTCCTGTACTTAGTAAAACTACCTTATTAAAAACGGGTAAGGCCCTCCTTGGTGGCACAACGAGTTAGAACGCAGCACTGCAAGCTGGCCACAGCTGCATCAGTGCAAGTTCTATCCCCGGCCCCAAAGGTGACCCACATGGCGCGGCAGACCTCTCCTGTCTCGCCTGCTGCTCCCTTCAGCAGTGTCCTTCATCGATCTGTTTGTCCTGCTCCCCACTCTGTCTCTGGTGAATCCCCCTCACCGCTCCTGCACCTCTGGCTTGTACCCCAGTTCTGTATGCATAAGCAAATAAATCTTTGAAAAAAAAAATGGGTCATTATCAAAGTGGTTGTCCTCGTGGCAGGACAGCTGAGCATCTGGAGTCCTCATGTGCATTACCCCTGAAATCACAGTACTCTTTGGGGCCCCAGGATCATACATGGACTCAGGTCTAGAAACAACTTAGGGAAAAGATCAAGAACTTTGGAGGATGGTTCAGTGGACAGAAAGCCAAGAAAGCCCCTTCATTTTGGCCTCTGTTAACTTGCAGGGGAGTAGGGAGTTCCATTTGTTCCCTATTTTCCTTCAAACCTACACCCAGGCCTAAATGAGGGGGAGCTTTATAAGAGCAATTTCATATCTATGGTGGAAAAAATGTCAACCCATTTTATCTTCAACTCAGCAGATGTGGGGGATGTTTAATCTCTTGGTGAGCTGAGAATTTATACATTTCCATGTAATACAATGCACATTTATCCCCCAAGTCCCCTAAAACCAATCCCTGTGGGACTCAGCTGAGAGCCATCACGGTCATGATCCCACTGGAATTGCTCCTGCCCAAGACTTAAGTCAGTAAAGGATATAAATACTGTTTGTTACAATAAAGTCTTGCCATAAAATAATAACAACAAGGTGTTGACAATAGCCAGAGGATATGTTACAGAGGACAACTTATTCATCATAATTATTTTTATGACTCCCAGCACAGGGCTGGTCAGGGGAGCCAGGGAGGGCTGACATTCCCCAGGCCTCCCACACTCAGCGCACTGTCACCCAGGTCGTGTGAGGTCAGAAGACCAGCACACAGAGCAAAGCAGGAATCTCTGGCTGTTTCTTTTTAAAAAATGAAGGAAACCTCCCCAGAAGTGCCCCACCCCCACCCTGGTCGTGAAATGTGAAGATGATGTTACAGGTCCATGTTCTGGCTGGCCCTGTGACAAGGGAAGGACCCCCATTCATTCTCCCAGAAGGACCCTGGTCCCCTGTGGGTCACAGCGGCTTGGCAGGCACTCAGACAAGCTGTACATTGGTTTCAAGGAGGAGTTGGAGAACTCAGTGGCCAGAGATCAGTCGCATCCCAGCTGCATTGCAAGGATGGGCATGGCCAGGTCTTTGCCTCCCCCCATTCTTGGGGTGGACTCTGCCCAGTCCTGTGACTCCCAGTGCACAGATGAAGGTATTGATGCTCCGAGGTCGTCAGTTAGCCAGCCACCCTCACAGAGCTGCCTCCTGAATTGGGGGACCCTTTGTCTTGTGTGCGTCAACTCTGGAATTCCTAGAACAGGGTTCCAGCACTCCTTGTGTTCCTCGCCTTGGGCTTCAAACCCAGAAACTTGTTTTTTCCGGTGGCTGTACATCTCACGGGGAGGCTTCTTCATAACAACATAGATTGAGGTCTCCCTGGTGGTGCAGCGGGTTAGGACACTGCACTGCAAGAGGCCGAGGCCACTTTAGTGCAAGTTCGATCCCCACCAGGTGACCCACATGGCACGGCAGACCTCTACTGACCTGCTTGCTGCTCCCCTCAGCAGTGTACTTCGTCTGTCTGCATGTCCTGCTCCCCACTCTGACACTGGTGAAGCCTCTCACCACCCCTGCACCTCTGGCCTGTATCCCAGCTCTGTATGTATAAATAAATAAATCTTAAAAAAAATAAATCAAACATAGATTAAGCTGGCAGGGGGCATTTAAGGCTTTGGCCCCTGGCCCTGAGCTGCTGGTGACCCAGGTTGGTCCTGATGGAGGAGGTGGCTTCACAGGTGCTGTGTGAGGCTGGTATTCGTTTGGTAGCATCTCCCTTGGGTTAAGTATCTGGGTGGAAGGAGGGTGGTGACTCTCCATTCCGTGGTTTAAATCTCCCCATGGTTCCAGGTGAAGGGACGGTCCTTGCTGCCTACCAGCCCGGCACCCTTGGCCCCCAGTCTCCCTGCTCCCCTTCACTCTCTGCGGTGCCCTGGTGAGCCTGTGCTGCCTTCCGTCCTCACACTCACCAAGGCAGCTTCTCCCTCAACAGTTCCCACCTGTGGCCTCCCATCTGCGGGCCACTCTGGCGTCTGGATCACACACCCCACTCATTTGTATCCCTAGGTCTCCAGGCCCCCCTTCTTCCTAGTAGCTGAGGAATGAGCAGTCACCCAGGGCTATGGACTCCCAAACAAGATGGTTGGCTAAGAGTTGTGTGGCAAATCCACCGGGGTCTGCAGAGCCCAGTGGCCTAGGTTCCGACTTGCCTCTTCCCTGATATGGGCAGGTTATATATCCTTTTTCTGCTTTAAGTCCTCCATGAGCAATGAGGGCGGTGATGCCCACTGCTTCAGCAGGTTGAGGGCTGCGTGTAGCTCCGGCCACCCCAACGCTCACTCTGCTGTGTGTTCCTCTCCCTTGCATCTCCCCATCTGTTCTTCAGTCCGTAGGACAGGGCTTGGCCTGGAAATGTTCACTGAATGAACAAACCCTGTGGTCCTCAGATGGTCCATCATTCTAATGACCCTCTGAAGACCGGTCTGAAGGGAGGAATGTTGGCAGCACAGATGAGTCTCAATGTGTGATCTCTCAGGTCTCCTGCCAATGCCCCGAGATCGCCACTCCCCTTCCCGAAGTGGGAATGGGTCCTGGCATGGTGGGCTCTCAGAAGCCACATGGCCTATGCTGTGTGTTCTCCTTGGCACCTGGCTCTTCACGGAGGACGTGCCTTGTGAAGCCTGGGGACACAGTACAGTCTCTGACCTGTTTGGGGAGGATGAGGAGGTGCTAATTTCAGAAACTCCAGGGCCAGGTCAGCACAGCCCCCTGCCCAGGAAAGCGGGGTATTCCCACCCTGATATGTCTTCTCTCACCTTGTGTTATCTTTTTTCTAGCTACTATGCTGTCCTGTACCCCATGGTGTACCCCATGAAAATCACGGGGAACCGGGCGGTGATGGTGCTCGTCTACATCTGGCTGCACTCCCTGGTCGGCTGTCTGCCGCCCCTGTTTGGCTGGTCATCCGTGGAGTTTGACGAGTTCAAGTGGATGTGTGTGGCCGCCTGGCACCGGGAGCCCGGCTACACGGCCTTCTGGCAGATCTGGTGCGCGCTCTTCCCCTTCCTGGTCATGCTGGTGTGCTATGGCTTCATCTTCCGCGTGGCCAGGGTCAAGGCCCGCAAGGTGCACTGTGGCGCCGTGGTCATTGGGGAGGAGGACGCCCAGCGGACCGGGAGGAAGAACTCCAGCACCTCCACCTCTTCCTCGGGCAGCAGGAGGAACACCTTTCAGGGTGTGGTCTACTCAGCCAACCAGTGCAAAGCCCTCATCACCATCCTGGTGGTCATTGGGGCCTTCATGGTCACCTGGGGCCCCTACATGGTGGTCATCACCTCGGAGGCCCTCTGGGGGAAGAACTACGTGTCCCCGACCCTGGAGACCTGGGCCACGTGGCTGTCCTTCACCAGCGCCATCTGCCACCCCCTGATCTACGGGCTGTGGAACAAGACAGTCCGCAAGGAGCTGCTCGGCATGTGCTTTGGGGATCGGTACTACCGGGAGCCGTTCATGCAGCGGCAGAGGACTTCCAGGCTCTTCAGCATCTCCAACCGGATTACAGGTAACGCAGGGACTGTCAGAGAGCAAGGCCTGTCCTCCAGATGGAGTGCCCTGAGGTCCTCACAGCTGTCCAGGCTTGGGTGAGGGTCAGTGTGAGTGGCCTCAAGGCTCAACGCTCAGGTTTCCTGGGGTAGGGGGCTGCTTGGAGTGTCCACTCTGACCGCAGTAGCTTTTGGGAGCTCAGCTGCTCAAGGCTAGGGAGACCAATCCAGAAATGCATTCTCTGCTGTGAAAGTATAATTACTTTTTTTTAAAAAAATAATATAACAGTTTATTTTTACATCATTTTGTACATTTTTTTTTCATCTCAATTGTAATCCCCGTGGGTTTCCCATCACCGAGTCACCCGTGTGCCATCA